GGCGCTAGGCAGTAGGCACCCCGTGTGTGGGGCGCGTACACGCGCTGGGCTTCTCTAGAAGACCACATCTATAGCGCTGGGCCCGCTAGGCTGACTGAGTCGCGGGCTCGTGCTGAACGCCGCTAGAAGACCGCATCCCACTCGCCTGGCCCGGGCGCGCGATCTGGGAGCTCTAGAGGGCCACATCTAGCGGCACCGCTAGACTAAGCCGCGGTCTCGTGCTGAACGCCTCTAGGAAATCTCTTCGACAGGACGCTGAGCAAAGGGCGCCAGTAGCCTGCACCGCGCACGCGCTGGGCGACCTACAGGACTGAGGAAGTGACCATGTGATGGTCACGCGTCACACTTAGCTGGCGCCAGGTACGCCGTTACTGAGCGAGGACAGGTCAGCGGAGTGGGGAGGAAGAAGAGGCAGGCGGAGCTGAGCGTTTTCTCAATGAGGGATCGTAGCATGTACGACCCTCCTTGGGGATTTCGAAAAGTCTCTGAAAACTCTCCTTATCCTGGGATAGATTATACAATTCTGTGCATAATGTGTTAGTGTTGATTCCGCTCCCATATCTTTCTTGAACTATTCTACTTATTTCAGGAATAAGGCGAGCGTTACTCCAACACTTCAAATTGTCAGCCAATGATATCCTATACTCCTCCACATGCTGAGGGTTGGTCAAATCATTTCTACCCAATTTTGAAAGAACTTTTACAACATCTGGTACAAAAGCTATTTTTTCACCGTCTCTCACGACGAACTTGGAACAGAAAGAAAGAGTTTCATATGTTAGCACTTTCACTTCAAGGTTAAACAATGACCCATAGGATGCCGCAAGGCTCCTTTCGAAAGTTTCTGGAGACAAAATAAAACTATCGTCGCCTACAAAACCAGCGTGAGCCAAGTGATTGGATTGGATTCCGTATTGACGGTACAACCGCAATTTCTTCAGATCAAAAGTACACGCAGCGGCGGTCATGTTCACAAAGGTATTACCGGCCAATGTCCAACTAATACCGCTCTTCATCTGTAAATCTATAAATAGCTTAACCCCAAATTCTCGACACACCAACACGGTGTTTCGATGGCTCTCATACATACCACGACACACATTTTCTTTTACACCCAATCTTCTAAAAATCCCTACGATGATGTTGATGGCAAGTAGGCCCTGGCTTTTATCATACTTTGAAATATCCAATTCGGTTTTGCATGAATGATCTAGCAAATCCGGAGGAAAGGATTGTGAAAGTTTGTTAGCGTATTCTTCTGGAGAGCAGTCTGTGTAAATTGAAAAGGTGGGATCTAATACATGCATTAATCTATTCATTGCTTTGCGCACATAAGGGCCAAAGAGTGCATTGCATATCTGGTTTTGCGCTGCTATAACTTGTGGCGCTGAATAGGTGGTTATACAAGCTTGAGTAAGAGTGGGTTTGCATGTGGTTTTGATGCTCAGATCATACTTTTTGAATTCTTCATAGGTGAACGGAGCGTCATCGGTCATGAGTCCCAACTTAAAATCTTCCTTAGTCTTAACCCAGTCGTTGAAAGCTTCTTCGTCTATTTGAATAGGCTCATTTGCAAATTCTGCGAACATATCACTATACTCCGGAGCCACGTAGGTGTCAACAAATACATCAACCATATGACCCGAAACCCATCCTTCATCAGATAAAGCTCGCAATTTGGCCACGCTGCAATTACGTTGGGCAACTGCATATAACAATTCCAGGCGAGTCTTGTCGCGGATTTTCGGTACAGCTGTTCTCAGCAACGGTGACATTTTATCAAAAGAAGGAATATTTACATTATTCCTATTTATGAGAATTTCCACATTTTCTACTTTAGGTTGGTAAGTAGATGCTTCAAAATGTTTGTGGTCGTAATCATAATTGTGGAGCGAAGCCCCGGGAAAGATTTCATAATAGACCGTCTGTAACGCGCCAATGTCAGCTACGGTTGCAGCCACGGTTGGGGCCTCCGGGTTTTCATCTACAATGTCTTCTCTAGGGACTTCTTGTACAATCATGTCACTCCCTTGTGGTCCAGTGTATAGTTCAGCTATGTTAGATCTAATGGTCTCAATTACAGCTTTTCTCTTTTCGGGCAGGCAGTCATAACTTTTCCCTTCGCCGTAAGTGAAAATTTTTTCAGGCATGACGGTCAGAGGACCGGCAGCAGTCATTTCACCGAAACGCCAGTAACTCTCTTCAACTTCGTGGTTTTGATCTCTGAGCCAGATGAAGATATCCTTCTTTTTTTCTCTACGGAGTAGCTGTTAATCTCTTCATCAGAAAGTCTTTGAACTTTAGCTATCCAATTTGTGGTGGCGTCGTCAATCGGAGAAATATAGTGGAATTCCTTGGTGTGTCGGGACATCATTACTAACAAATGACAACGAGAATCGTATATGGTTAGTTTTGCTTGGTCGAATCTCATTCCTATGACAGTAGGATTTTCATTGCCCTGATATTCCTGGATGGTGTTAGGTTTGTATTTTTTAATCAAGTGCTTCTCTTTGTCATCTTGTTTGTGTACCAATATCTTTGCATTCTGATTCATCAAGGCCTCAAACTCCTGATTCGGTGTGCGCTTCAGAGATCTGACTACCTTACTGGTACCATAGATAGCAAAATCATATTCTCCAGAAAGGGCAGCCACCACGTCCAATGGGATACGATGAGAGACATTCAGCGGTTCACCCATTCTTACTATGTTCTCGACGGGAGCCAACGGTGTAGGAGCCTCAGCACGTCGATTGATAAACACAATTTGCTTGTTGTCACCCAACACATGAACGGTCTTTGGTCGGAGAAAAGACAATAGTATCAGAACTTTCCCAGCATGATGCATGAAAACTTCATCAATGAAGAGGCGATCACACTGTATATGGCGAGCATACTGATGCTGATTAATCAACACAGAATCGCAAGTAGCAACTAATCTTTCATCGCACTTCTGTCTCTTTAGACGATCACGCAACTCCTGGGCCTGTTCACGTCCCGTGACAACTACAAAGTCTCGACTCTTTCCCTCAGCAACATTTTTAACTAGAGTGTACGACTTTCCTGAACCCGGAATACCGCGACAAGCCGAGATAGGAGGCAAGACCACTTCTTCTCTCTTCACAATAGGCAAATTCTCCACAGCATCCAGTATAGCGCGAGAAGCCATGAACTTTGTGGAATTGGAGAATAGCAGTGCCGCCCTGTGCTGGTGTTAGGCCCTTCACTCGACGCCGTCTTGCTGAAGTCTTATAGTAGTTCGTGTGCAGTGATTAGGACCCCGTCCTCAGTCCAGAACGCGTCTACTAGTCTCACTTTTTCCTTATCTTGTAGTAGTGGAAGGAACTGTTCCCCTTACTTCGGTACAGCGCGGAGGTTCCCAGGTCATAAAGTACCACTTTATGGCTCCCGTTTCTAACACACAAGAGTATGCAGACATTGGGTTTCGGCAGTATCATTCTGATCGCGATCTGTGTATGCCTGATGTTCTTGTGAGCCTTAGTAAATATTTCAAATCGGCTCCCAGTACTTGTTGGTTGGAAGACCGTCAAGCACTCTTTTCAAAAATTTCTGCTAACAATCCTGAAGTAAGATCCGTGTCACAACAAACCACTGTGCCGGACGAATTTCTAACTTTAATCACTTCTAGGGATATTTCTAATTCGTTGGACCGTATCATTATTTATCATATTCTTAAGTCTTTTGAAGACTTATTGCCAGCTACTTTTTACATCGAAGCGTGGGAAATCTACAGAAAAACCAAGCCCGGCCGTTACTTTTCGGAAGAACATTTTAACCGCTGGGATTCTTTACTAGTTCGAATTGCTAAACTTAAAGAAGTTTATCAGACCACCCACAGTACCAGAGACTGTCTAAAGCAATAACCATGTATCACTACCGTTTTGACACTCCCAAGCAGAGGAGCCAGTTTGTGGGGCAACGATTCGTCGACGCCGAACTGCTCACCGATAGAGGTGTGCGAACTGAGGTTTTTCAAAGTCGAATCGAATCGAATCGAATCTTCTTTAAAATAACTCGAATCGAATCGAATCTCATTTTTTTACCTCGAATCGAATCGAATCGAATCTGTTTGATTCGAATTCGACTCGAATCGAATCGGCAGTTTTAGTATTTATGAAACGTTTAGAGTGTTTATGTATATGGATTAAGTCTAAAACGGTTAATAAATCAGGTTTAATTTTCCTCTTTCATATTCTAATGCCTTTTGAACAGTCTCAGGTGGAATTGGAGGAGGAAAATACGTTTTATACAAATAAACTGCCAGAATACTGCCGCGCCGGTTCGATTTCGAACTCGACACTTAAATTTCCTCGAATCGATTCGCATTCGAATCACTTCAATTCGTAATCGAATCGAATCTACCCAGATTCGATTCGATTCGATTCGAATTCGAACTGTTCGCACACCTCTACTCACCGAGCTTGTTAGAAAATTTCAAATTCCATTTAGTCACGTAGTTACAGCAATATCCATATTCCGAAGTGCCCTAGGCAATCTTGATACATATGAGTTCCATGCCGACGTTAAAG